ATTCTCGTTTGCATTGCTGAGACGGAAAAGAGAGTACTAGGAACCGGGCTCTGGGACAGCCCCAGTCCCCACCGCTCTTGCTTGGGACCCAGCTCCCTCCTCACCAGCTCCCTCCTCACTTCTCAGAGCAACTGGAAGAGCTCACCAAGGCCTTTCAACGCAGCGCAAAATGCCAGGTCTCTGTTAGTTGCCGGCAGACTTCTCCAAAGGACAGGATCTTTTGCTGTCATCATCTTCCAGCTTTCTTTTTGTTGCTCTTTTTAGGAGAAAAAGCCCTGGCAAGTGTCCTCCACCACTCATTCATGCCCGCTCCTCTGCCCACTGCTGCCCGCTCCCCTTGAGTTGCTTGTGCCAGTGGTCCCCATCCACTGGGATAACTGTTGTGGTGGTTCCCAGACCTGTCGTCCGATTGTGCCTATAGCCCTGAAAACGTATAGCTCGAGGAAGGGGAAGGGCAGCGCGTGTGCACTGTGCAGCCCCCACGCCATCCTCCACCCCAGCTCCGCATCCTCCGGGGATGTCTGCGATGCTGAAATTGCCTGTTTCGGCTGAGGAGCGCTACCAGGATCCAGACCATCTGTGGTCACTAAAAATCACATGGTAGTTTCTGTAAGGATGCAGAAGTGTTGTGGCTGATGGCTTGGCTGGAGTTCAGCACCGGTAATTAATTTTTCCTTCCTGAGTTCCCCTCGCAGTTCTGTTGGAGGAGCCGCTTCCTTCCCCTCCGGCCCCAAACTGCGGCACAGCACCTCTGTAAGCTGCTAAACTTCTGTTTGAATTTCCTGGGCAAACAAAATCATCCCTCTATTTCTTCCCGGTAAGAGTGGTTTGAGGAGTAATTAACAGCCCACGTCAGTGCAGTTTTCACCCTCCCTCTCAGGATTCTGTTTGGGGATGGATTTGCCTAAGCAAAGTATGCTGAAATCCTTGAATGAAAGGTGCTGTAAGATAACGAAGCACGATCGATAACGAAGCAGACTTGGGGACTGCAACAGTCTTACGAGCCCGGTTTATTCTGCATGGCAGATCCCTCCCTCCCGCAAAGATCAGCTTCGTTCCAGCGCTGTCCTGGGATGGATCAATATGTTTTATTGTCAGTTTATGCAGAGTCCCCGGGTAGCGGCGGCCGACCAGGTACCTTTCTTTGTTGCCCTGTCAGCCAGGCTGCCTAATTATTTTCTCTTTGCCTTTTGGGCACGGTTTCTGACAACTGCTGCTTGCCATCTGTCGGAGGAGAGATCCAGGCCGGGTGACGATTTGTTTTATTCTGAAGATGGAGTGACGGTCGTTCCCGTGAGCGGGACGTTGTCCTGGCAGAAGCCACAGCTCTTTCGCTAATGCCGTTATTAGCGCTGGTGACAGAAACAGGAGGAAGGGGACACCGCTGTGTGGCTTTCCTCTGCTCACGTAGTTCACCGACGGCAGCGAGTTCTCCATGTCCACTTTCTCTACCGTATACATTTACGTGCACAGCAGCACAAAGGATGCGGTAGTTCGAAGCACCCCCAGCTGTTACACAGAAACAGCCAGGATGGAGTGTGCGAGGAGTACGACAGGAGTATAGCAGGAGTACGACAGGAGTACGTCAGGAGCTCAGTAGCACCATGCAGTACCAAATACCATCTTGGCTACCAGAGAAGAAAGTTCAATCACGGGAACTTCCAGCTGGCAAAGGCTTCCAACCTGAAAGCGCATCACACCTCCGCTGCGGAGGGTGCACCGGGCTGGCGCGGGAGCACGGACGGGTCCCACACGATGCCAGGCTCCAGGCAAGCGCCTGCGGCATAGCAGAGGGAGTTGATTTTTGCAAGCCATCAGCTATTTTCACAAGCGATTTCAGGCTGAAATTAGGACCAAATGGACGTATTTAAGCAGGGTGAGCGGAGGGCAGGAGTTCATCATCTGCTGCATTCGGTGCCTGCAGGAGTTAGTGCCCAGCATCGCTGCCCAGAGCCGTGCTGGTACAGCGCGGGGCTTGGCCGCGGCAGGGTTGCATCCAGCTCTTCCCGCTGGTTTCGGAGACTTTGGAGCGGGGCCTGGAGAGCCCTGGAAGTGGAGTACTTGGACACAGCTTGCCTGCGCTTTTCTTGGCCCTGGCAGCTGCGCTAGTCTCTCGCTTTCATAAGCACCAGCAGATTCATAAACAAAGTCAAGGGAAAATATCTAAAAGCAGCAATGTCAAAAGTTCACACGCTGGTTGACTGAGCAGGAATTCAGGGCTGATGGGACAAAGATAAAAAGCCATAAAATTTCTGTTCCTCAACTACTACCAGAATACTTTTTTTTTTTTCTTTTCAAGAATTAAAGTGCAGCAAATCCCCAGTAAAACTGCAGCATCCCAAACGGTTTGTCATCAACATCCAGGAAATTTCACGTGCCTCCGCCTGGTCCTTCAGGCCACAACTGCATCTTCATCCCCCGCAAGAACAATTCTTCCATAAACGCCAAAATATGGTGCCTACAGTAATAGCCCACTTAAAATGTCTCATTATTGCAGTTTAACTGGTCATTAGCAGCTGGAATAGACTGATTTCTTATGGGTTGTGGCTGAAATAATTACCTGACACTCTGAGCCATTAAAAAGCAGTTAATGAGTAGAGGGGGAGAAGGTGCTGATGTGGACACGGGCACTGCGCCGGCTGGGGGAGGTTCTTCTGTAGGAAACCAGGCTGAGGTTTGTTGCCTGTGGGATCCAAAGTAGTTTAAGCCTGAGGTAAGTTAGGGAAATCATTAAAAAATTAATCTGATAGCAGTTTGACAACAGTCTGGCCACTGTATCAGTTCTAAAAAGTTCATTTCATGATGTTTTGCTCTGTATGTGCTGAGTTTCCTTTTTTTTAATGATTTTTTAATTGAGCTAATTAGAGGCTGTGTAATTTCCAGAGGAGAAAGGCATCGTGCTCCAGGAGCGTTGGCTGCTTCTGAGATACCGTGTTCGCTCGTAAATCTTGACATGTTCTGTATGCTTTCAATAAAAACGGCATATTAGCTTTAGATGTGGTAACAGATTGGAGTAGTTTAAGAGTGAAATATGGATGAAAATTTCTCCATCAAGAGAAACCCACTGACAATCTTTGAGCATCCTGTTGGCCCATGCTGTTGTCTTTGGCTGTTGACATGTTGTGTTGTCATGTTGGAAGAACCATTGGAAGCTCCTGTTTATGGTAGGTGACAGACGAGCAGGGCCCAGCACAGAGAAGGATTAAAGCAGGTAAGGTGGGAAGATGCCCACTGATATCTAGTGAACCCTGGGTTTCTTCTGCTTGGATTTATGGTGTCCGGCTCATAGGTGTGTAAGACTTGGGCAATGCAGGTGTTCCTCCATAAGGAGTACCTGTAGTAGAGCATCCATCACGTCATGGTGGGTGTTGTCACTCAGATGGGTGTCACTGGGTTTGTAGTAAGCACTTGTGGTCCCGTTGCATCGGTAAGTGTTCCCCACCCCGATGGTGCTTTGCCCTGGCCGTAAGCCCTGTCCTTCTCCCCGCAGTGCTCCATGCCCGCCTGTGTCACCGCGTTCCACGTCACCTGCGCCTTCGACCACAACCTTGACATGCGGACTATTCTAGCAGACAATGACGAAGTGAAGTTCAAGTCCTTCTGCCTTGAGCACAGCACCGGTGCCACCAAGCTGCCCGAGGAGGCACGGACAGAGCCCGACCAAGCCCAGCTGGACTTGGAGAAGGTCACGCTGCGGAAGCAGAAGCTCCAGCAGCTGGAGGAGGACTTCTATGAACTCGTGAAGCCTTCAGAGGTGGCGGAGAACCTTGACTTAAGCGAATCGCTGGTGGATTTTGTCTACCAGTACTGGAAGCTGAAGAGGAAAGCAAATTCCAACAAACCGCTGCTGACACCAAAAACGGATGAGGTGGACAACTTGGCCCAGCAAGAACAGGACGTTCTCTACCGACGCTTAAAGCTCTTCATGCACCTCAGGCAAGACCTGGAGAGGGTGAGTACAGCTTTTCCTTCAATGGTGTACCCATATGCTCCGTCAGGGCTGTTTTAATGTGTGCTGGCACCTATAGACGGCACAAGCCCTGTTCCCCCTTGACTCAGTTTGACACCCCAAACGGTTGTGTCCCTTCATCTAGAGCTTTACTTAGAACAGCGGTGCTCGGCGTGCGTGTATCATCACTGCCTAAACACTGACACTGATGAAGTAAGTTAGTGGTGGTCTCAGCTGGAGGTTCAAAAGAGCAAATGTCTGCAGGGAGAAGGTGCCTCGGTGGGGGCGGGTGGCTGGGAGGCAGATGCTGCTGCAGCTTCTATCCACTATGTCTTCATAGTCTCAAACCACAAAATTATCCTGTGCTGCCCCTCAGATGCTTTCCAGGAGCAAGGCACAGGAACAATTCGTTATTTACTTACATTAGCCGTCAAAGATGGGTGGATGGCAGGAGCGAGCAGCAGGGCCGGCGGGACGGGGCATTCCCTGCCCTGTCGCAGCCAAAAGTGGGTCGGCTCCTCGGGGAGCCGGCGGCAGAGGC